ATCAAATAGTCCACCTGATAATCGCCTGAGATGGGATGCAGGTGTGGAGTTAACAGCCACACCCGTGGGCGTGGGCATCCCATCAGCTCCTCGGACACCGGGCCGCGGACCATGACAGTTCTCTGGTTGGTCTTTCTTTGCTGCTCTGAGTTATTTCAGTTATTCATGCTCCGTTAGTTCTGCAGTTCTTTAACATCAGATCAGATTGATGACTGAATGAACTGCTCCCTTCGAGTGGATCTGTAACCTTTTCACATTCATTTAATTAACATATTAGTCTCACTCACAAGACAGATTACTCAAAGGTTTTTAACTAAAAGTTTTCTCAGGTCCTTCTAAACCTAAGCGTTACTGGCTCAAATCTGGGAGCCTGAACGTTGTCGTACAAGCCTCAGCTTCAGCAGTCAGAGCCCTGAAACCCAGGACCCCGACTCTGATCTCTCCCTGGGCTTCCTCTGAAAACAAGAGACACACAGTTATAATAAAGTCACTTGGAAAGATGGAAACAGCCAATCTGGACTCTCAGTGAAGACTAAATAGTTTGTATAAATGTTATAAATTACTTCCCCCACTTTTGCAATAAATCTCAGGTGAGATGTGGGTTAACCACTTAAGCCCCACGCCCTCGGTACCGGGGGCAAAAAGGAGGAGATCACGTTTAATCGGTTATAACGCGGGTTGAGAAATATAAGTCCAGACATGTGTGGTATCCACAGAAACCTCAGAATCTCAGCTAAAAAGTCATATAAACCATTTCTACAACCACCAAACACACCGAAAACAAGCCGTGATTAAACGAACAGTTACGTAAATGCGCAGAAGTCCGCTAAACAAACAAAACCGAACCAGAAATTCTTCAGACTTCGTGTAACCGGCTAAAGATGGGCTGGTTAGCTTCCAGGACTATCACTGACTCCACACACCAAGTTTCACCACGATCAGACCAAAATTCACTGAATGAGCCACAAAAGAAGACCACAAAAACACACAGCGGCGCAAATGCGCTAAGACCGGTA